CCAAGCCCTAGCCGAAGGTGAGCAAGAGCTGCTGTTTTTGAGGACCCAATGGGCTGAGCTGCTTGGAATTCCTCTCAGTTTGAGGGACCGCATCATGCAACTTGCCAAGTTCCTGCTGCTTTGGTTGTGGATGCGAAGAGTGTCTTCGACGCCGTGCAGAAGGGCGACACCGCGAGCGCTGCATTTGGTTTGAAGGAGAAGTACTCGGCTCTTGAATTGCTGGCGGTGGTTAAGAACTTGCGTCTGCAGAAGACGCCATTGCTCTGGGTCTCTTCGGACGCCCAACTCTCTGATGGCTTAACAAAGCCAGCGGCTCAGGATCACCTGAAGAACTTCCTGATGAGAGGCCAGCAGTGGAACGTCAAGTACGATCTTCAATTCCTGGCTGCAAAGAAGAAACCCAAGAGCGAGAGAATGATGCAATCAGCGCCTGAGACTTCACCTATGCCTGCAGATTGGGCCCTGAGTGTAGTTCAGATGTTACAACAAGCTCACACATCCTTTGGCAATAGTCTTTGGGGTGTGTAAGAGCGTATTTTTTATATTGCCTTCGAATGGTGAGCATGTCACAAACACATGTCCACCGTAAACCTTTTGGGACAAAGGGACCCCTTTAGCCAGACTTCATAGAAGTAAGGGCTACTTAGCCTGACCTGTGCCATAGCAGCGCAGCAGATTGCCTGAGACACTTGGGCGTGGCGAAAAGGCAAGGACAAGCTGAACTTGAACCTTGGGCTTTGTGTTGCGTTGCCAGTCGCATCCTGTGAAATTGGGGCCACTGGCCAAAACTCAAGCGCAAAGCAGCTCAAAGAGTTAGAAATGCAATCTACACGTTGGGGTTTAAGCTTGTGACTCCACAAGCAAGGTGAGTCTGTTGGTCCAACTTGGAAGGCAGCCGGGTTGTTGCTGTTGTTGTTGTTGTTGCTGTTGTTGCTGTTGTTGTTGTTGTTGTTGCTATTGTTGTTGTTGTTGTTGTTTGTTGTTTGTTGTTGTTGTCGTTGTCGTTGTCGTTGTTGTCGTTGTTGTCGTTGTTGTCGTTGTTGTCGTTGTTGTCGTTGTTGTCGTTGTTGTCGTTGTTGTCGTTGTCGTTGTTGTTGTCGTTGTTGTTGTTGTTGTTGTTGTGTTGTTGTTGTTGTTGTTGTTGTTGTTGTTGTTGTTGTTGCTGTTGTGTGTTGTTGTGTGTTGTTGTGTGTTTTTGTGTGTTGTTGTGTGTTGTTGTGTGTTGTTGTTGTTGGTGTTGTTGTTGTTGGTGTTGTTGGTGTTGTTGTTGTTGGTGTTGTTGTTGTTGTTGTTGTTTTTGTTGTTGCTGTTGTTGTTGTTGTTGCTGGTGTTTTTGTTTGTTGTTGTTGTTGTTGTTGTTGCTGTTGTTGCTGTTGTTGCTGCTGTTTTCAAAGTGTGTTTTTAAAGTTTGTTTTTAAAATTTGTTTGCACAACAACAAATGTTTTTGAACTTCAAAACCATTCAGGACCCAAACAAGAAACTGACCAGTGAAGCACCAGCTATCAATGTAGCCAGGTTGACCGAACTGCATCAGACAATGTGATGCCCACACGCTGAAAATACCAAAATTAAATACTATTGTATACTGTATTTGCGGAGAACTCAATGTAAGAAACCGTACCCACCCGCGAAACAGTACCGTTTGACGCAGAACGTGGACACAGCATTTCTAGGGGTGAGTCGGGGTGAGTGTCTTATGTTTGGCAAAGCTGGGAGGGTCTTCAGGCGAACAGAGACAGAGAATGGGAAGAAGGTACATTATACTTGGAGCAAACTGCAGCGTCCGCCTTTCGACATCTAGCTGTAGGCTATAGCCAACACTGTGGACATTTCCGTCCTGCATGTCTCCAAGGAAAAAACATAGAAGAAAGGCGAAGGCCGCGTGATTCGCTTCAGCCGCAGTCATGAATTTGAGTTTCGGAGTTTCATATTCAGAAGTGCGCGCAAGGTCACCAATATTCCATCCAATTTGCAGTTCAAGTATTTGAAGGACAGGTGCTTCCAAGAATTCGTACCCTTTAGTTTTTTTTCTCAGCTGTGTTGTATCCAAGGAGTGCTGATAATTTTGATTTCAGAATCAAGGCTAGTTGGTTGAACTGAGTCAGATTGACATTTTGATTTGATGGGCTTACAGGAGCTCTTGGAAAAAGCCACCGGTCCAATTGTGGATGGGCACATTGACGAGGCCTGGAGGTCGCTCTCTTCCACAGCCTTTCCTCGAAGTTCAATATGCATCAATGTGCCAAGAAGACCCAAATAGTCAAAGCCACAGCAACAATCAGAACCCACGGAACTGCAAGCGAAAGGCTTCCAACGTGTCAAGCAGCAAATTCTGCACACGCAGAGATCTTTCGGGGGCATTTTGCACTCAAAACGGGCAAAAAACGAGATCTCGCAAGTGGATCTTACAGGACCGGTGGAGATCTTGGGGAGATCTTCCAAAGATCCCCAAGAGATGTTTTGGAGGAATCTTACAGGATCCCCCACAAAAGATCGTGCATAGAGATTGCGAAAGCCGACCATAGAAGGCGTAGGCTGAACTTGTGGTTGCGAACACAGTGAGTGTGAAGGGCGTGTGGGGGTGGCCGCCAAACGTACTGTAAAGGAGCATAAAATTGTGCGCAGAAAGAGTCTTCGGGTAGCTTCCGCAGTGTCAAAAGCCAAAAGCCGTCGCTCGAATTGTTTGTTGTGAAGGATGGGAGGAAATCGGCTCGAATCCCTGCGAATTGTAGCAGACGATCACTTTTGGATTTTTTTGGTGGCAAAACATCGTCAAACAACCATACCTTATAAACCGGGGCTGTCAATAATCGTTCGTATGTTCTCCATCTCGGCATACGCACTTGTTTGAGCCGCTTTGCTGTACCTTCGCAGGCCTTTACAGCGTGGTTGGCCTTTCAGAACGCTGAGGTGTGGCAGCGTGTGTTGCTGTAGAATCAATCAGCAGGAATCTACCTGGTAAAGTATCACATAGTATCACTGTTTGTCATTGTTTAAAAGTCTTCGGGATCCGGCATGATATGTAAAGTATTACGCAAAGGCTGCAACCAGGTACAGTTGAGGTAGCGGAAATTGATTGTGTTGTAAGTTGTAATAGCAGATCCTGTGTAACTGGTAGATAAATGTTGCCTTACGGAAGCTGACAATATTTGATCCCGCTTTGGCCACTAACCTGCAGATGCACAAGGAGCTGTTTCACTGTCTTGTTTGTATTATAGTTTCAGATTGGATATTTGTTTAATTCTGTGGCTTTCTTTGTAGCATGTTGCAATCTCTGCAGACAGGAAGCCTTTGATTGGTAAGATGCAACAGTGCAGCTTCTTCTACAGTATATTCTTTGTTGACTTGGAAGCCTCCAAGATTTGTTGACTTGCAAGTGAATTATCTGGTTTTGCCCTGACGTATTGTGTGACAAGCAATTCCTTGCATCGTGCCCTCCTTTCTCCCCTTTTACTGTGATGCCAAGTAAGGTTTCGTACAAGGCTGTATCATGCTGTATCAAAAAGAAATTGACACCCAGGTCCGATGCAGAATTTGCAAAGCAACAAAAACAGGGTGCCGGGCATCTGCAATCATCTGAAAGGCTCGCGACTGTCGTCACTGTTCAAACATTTTTTATGGGGGCATTGAAAAGGATCAAAAACAAAACTTTAATTTCATAAGCAATATCATCATCATCATCATCATCATCATCATCATCCTCATCGTCATCATCATCATCATCATCATCATCATCGTCCTCATCGTCATCATCATCATCATCATAATCATCATCATCATTGTCAAAAGAGCCTACAGCAGCGTCGCATGACGTATATGTGGAAGCGCAAGAGAGGCTACAGTGGCGTAGCACGACGCATGTGTGGAAGTGCAAGAGAACCTACAGCAGCGTAGCATCACGTATGTGTGGAAGTGCAAGAGAACCTACAGCAGCGTAGCATGACGCATGTGTGGAAGCGCAAGAGAACCTACAGCATCATAGCACGACGTATGTGTGGAAGTGCAAGAGAACCTACAGCAGCGTAGCGTGACGTATGTGTGGAAGCGCAAGAGAGGCTACAGCAGCGTAGCATGACGTATGTGTGGAAGCGCAAGAGAGGCTACAGCAGCGTAGCATGACGTATGTGTGGACGCGCAAGAGACACTACAGCATCGTAGCATTTAGTATGGAAGCGCAAGAGAACCTACAGCAGCGTAGCTTGACGTATGTGTGGAAGCGCAAGCAGTAGCGTGGCATGACGTATGTGTGGATGTGCAAGAGAACCTACAGCATCGTAGCACGACGTAATTTGTGGAAGCGCAAGAGAACCTAGCGTAGCTTGACTTGTGTGTGTGGAAGCGCAAGCAGTAGCGGGGCATGACGCATGTGTGGAAGTGCAAGAGAACCTTCAGCAGCGTAGCATGACGTATGTGTGGAAGCGCAAGAGAGGCTACAGCAGCGTAGCATGACGTATGTGTGGACGCGCAAGAGACACTACAGCATCGTAGCATTTAGTATGGAAGCGCAAGAGAACCTACAGCAGCGTAGCTTGACGTATGTGTGGAAGCGCAAGCAGTAGCGTGGCATGACGTATGTGTGGATGTGCAAGAGAACCTACAGCATCGTAGCACGACGTAATTTGTGGAAGCGCAAGAGAACCTAGCGTAGCTTGACTTGTGTGTGTGGAAGCGCAAGCAGTAGCGGGGCATGACGCATGTGTGGAAGTGCAAGAGAACCTTCAGCAGCGTAGCATGACGTATATGTGGAAGTGCAAGAGTACCTACAGCAGCGTAGCACGACGTACGTGTGGATATGAATGAAGTGCGAGAGAGCTTACGGTATTGTTGCATCACGTATGTGTGGACGTGCCAATGACATTATTATCCCACCCCACCCCACAAGACCCCACCCCCCCCACCCCCCCACTCCGCCACCCAATGTTTTGTTGATAGTATGATGCAAAAGATGACAACAGTCGCAAGCCTCTCAGATGCCCGGGACCAAAAACATGACACGACAAAGGGGTCACTGTGAAGTGAAGCAGGATGGCCTCTTGAATCCTCTTGACAATTGATTTCTTTTGTTTTTTCAGCCAATCCTTTGGGCTAAGCAAAAGCTGCATCGATAGAAAACCCACAGGTCTTTTTGTTGTCTCTTGACAGCAACGGGTCTGGTTCAATCAGCGGTGTCCCAGGATGCCGAATCCTTGTACAATGATTTCAATGGTGGCGAGATTAGCGGGGAATCCATTGAGGTGGGTTTTGCTCTGCTGTTTCAATGTTTCAAGTCTGTATCATCTTCAGGCTTTTGTGTTTCCACGTTCCACCTGTTTCCTGCAAGCTCTTTGGTGAGGTAGAGCTCTTGTCAGATTCTGAACCGCTTGGCAAGATGTAAAGACTTGCAACAAAATGTAAAGCGAGAATAAAGAATTGTAGAGATGTAAAGCGTTGCGATGGAAGCGTTGGAAAATGTCAGCCGCCAGCCGCTGTCAATCAGCCATCATGATGCACGGCTTGCAGCTGCTTCTCCTGGGTTTCGCCAAACTTTGCGCCACTCTGTCTGATGCTCTGCTTGGTTTGTTTTTCCCAATGCGTGTGTCAAGCTGCATGTAACTTTGCGTCAAGGGTATGCAGCATTAGTGTGATTCAGCATGATGTATTTTGATGTCTTATAATACTTATAATTATTTAGGTGGTTGTATCAAGACTATTGAACCTAGTGTCCATGTGCCTCGGAAGCACAAAACGGTTTGTACAACAGCTTTTGTGACTTCACCTGCTAGCTCGCATGAATGAGCCGGAGAACCACATATAACACATCCAAATTCCAACAAAAGAGTGGATATATCACACATGTGCAGATTCATCACAGCTGCAGGCAGATTTACAAATAGAGCTACAAAAAGACGTGTGTGTGTATGTCTGTATTTATATATAATATAATATAATTTAATATAATATAATAGAATAGAATATAATATAATATATAATATTGTATTTAAATATATACGCACTACTGTACACTGTAAATGTATATCTGGTGCCGGAGCCATGTCTGATGATCCTCCATCCGCCAGACTCTGAGCCAGCAACACCAGAGCAAGTTCGGGCCAGAAAATCATTTGCAATAATGCGATGGGATCTTCGGGACATGTTTGAGCCAGATTGGGTTCCCGGTAGCTGCTCCACGGCCAGCCTCACAATGTTTGAAAGAGATTCGCCACAAGGCATTAGCTGCGTTTCTGGGTGAGGCAAGGTATTGCGCGGAAAGCTGCGGGACTGCTGGTGACATATCATTTGTTCTCCAGAATCTTTTTGCAAGACCGGAGTTGGTGTCAAATCCCTACAAGTTACTGGAATGTACGAAGGGGGGGGCCTAGCTAATGTACGGTATGTTTTCGTACATTATTTTATCCCTAGGAGCTGGTTCGTACATTTCTAGAAGGGGGGGCCATATGAGGAATGGCAGAGAACTATTCGCCCACAAGTTTGGTATAGAATCATAATATGCCATTGCGAATGCCTGGGAATCATGGGAAAGGATGGGAAAGGAATACAAAGTTAATGCGCATTTTCATCGGCATTGATGATTTGTTTTGTTTGTAACGTTTGTGGTTTATAGCGGCATTCGGTGGCAGGATTCTCTGTTGACACTGCTTTCCAGAATCCTCCCACAAACGTAGAATGCGGGAAAGCGGTGGCAAATTCAATGGAGAAGACAGGCGAGGGGACACTGGAACTCCAGAACCATCCTGCTATATCCTGCTACATGTCTGTGGTTTTGGGCGAGCTTGTCCTGTTCCTTGCGCTTTTGCGACTCTTGCTCTTGCTGCTCCTGCTTGTCTTGTCTTGGCCCACCCCAAAATCATTGTGGAGGGAAGCGACCTGCACATGAAACGACATCGTTTTCAAGATACACCGATGACATCAGAAAACTTTGTCAGGAGAGAAGGGTGTGTCAAGTCTCTGGCTTCAGAGCTGTCGACAAGATTGGCCTTCAAGATTCAGAAATGCCAGGAGCAAGCCGGATCAATAGAAAGTGGCAGCACCAGACAAAGATGCCGAGAGCAAGAAATGTTGCGGACAAGAGATCACGCTGTCGACGGCCGTGCCAGCCAGGCGGTCAGGGGCCGTTCTTATAGGCTCTCCCTTGTTTTTATAGGTTCTTCCATGTTCTTCCTCTCGAAATTTCCGTCATCCGGCTTGCCCGGGACTCTACTTGTAGGATCTCCTAGTCTATCCTAGTGGTGATGTTTGCTGACAAAATCTCATGATGTATGTAAATAATAGTCCAAACAAATAACAAATAGGTTCATTTAATTCTGTTGGAAGTTGAGATGTCGAAAAAAGTGCGCGTCGTTGTGGCGCGAAGGACATTTCCAAGTCAAAATGTACAAAGCACACCATAATTAACTAGCTCCAGACCACTTTTGGAAGTTGAGATGTCGAAAAAGATCGAAAAAGTGCATGCCGTTGTGGCGCGAAGCACATTTCGAAGTCAAAATGTACAAAACACACCATGCTCGGACCACTGTTGGAAGTTGAGATGTCGAAAAAGTGCATCGTCGTGGCGCGAAGCACATTTCGAAGTCAAAATGTTAAAAACACCACATGTTCGGACCACTTTTTGGACGTTCAGATGTTGGTTCGCGTGGCAGGCGCAAGGGATTGTGCACCTTCTCAGAAGTGAGCAAAACGTGAGGGTTTTGTAGCATTTCCAAAAACGATGGCAGGCGTGTGGCATTTGAAGAAGATCTGCAAAGATGCATTTCGCGTGGCAGGGGCAGTGCATGGCAGTACAAAAGACATGTTCATCAGAGATGTTAGGAGGTCAGGGCGCTTATTTCCTGAGAAGGGTTGCATTTTGGAGCATGAGATCTGTAGCTTTGCTAAGATGATTTTGCGTCACAGGTGCAGCACTTCGTATGACCTGGCATCAATTTTTCGTGGTAGGCGCAGTACTTTAGACAGGTGGAGTGGAAAAATCGCAAAACACATTGGTACGAGGCCGTCAGCGCTGCACCCAATTTTCAAGTTTTGAAGGACGTCTCGCATAATGGCTTTGTTTTCTGATGCTGTCAAGTTCAAAAATTGAAGAAGTGTGGCAGAATTGCTTCGTTTTGGATGTTGTCAACTTCGAGAAACGAAGAAGTCTTGCAGAATTGCTTCATTTTGATGTTGTCAACTTTGAAAAATGAAGAGAAGTCTTGCAGAATAGCTTGGTTTCCAAGCTTGCAGATAGACATGCTTTTTTTGATAGATAGATACATACATACATAGATAGATAGATAGATAGATAGATAGGTAGATAGATAGATAGATAGACAGATGAGATAGATAGACAGCTAGACAGACAGTTAGATAGATGGATAGATAGATAGATATATAGACATATAGATAGATAGACAGAAAGACAGATAGATAGAGAGACAGCTAGATAGATAGCTAGATTAGATTAGATTCGATTCGATTAGATTAGATTAGATTAGGCTAGAATAGATTAGATTAGATTAAGGTTAGATTTGTTTAGATTAGATTAGATTAATTGATAGATAGGTAGGTAGGTAGATCGGCAGAAAGTAGATACATGATGGACAGATGAGAGAGGTAGATAGCTAGCTAGCTAGCTAGCTAGATAGATAGATAGATAGAGAGACAGCTTTGATAGATAGATAGATCGATAGCTAGATAGATAGATATATGGATAGATTGATGGATAGATAGATAGGTAGAAAGATAGCTAGATAGATAGATAGGTAGCTAGATAGATAGATAGGTAGATAGATAGATATATGGATAGATAGATGGCTAGATGGATAGATGGATAGATGGATAGATGGATAGATGGATAGATGGATAGATAGATAGATAGATAGATAGATAGTTAGATAGATAGATAGGTAGAAAGATAGATAGATAGATAGATAGATAGATAGATAGATGGATAGGTAGCTAGATAGATAGATAGGTAGATAGATAGATAGATAGTCAGAGAAAGAGAGAAAGAAAGAGAGAAACAGAGGAGACATCAATCACCTTCGATCCATCAGTGGCTTCGCTCTGGCATCCGTGCTTCACAACAACCAACCTCTCCTACAAGTTTCCTATTTTTAAAACTTCCGCCACCGCCTTGTGCGCTACTACTGGTATGCAAAACATTGCATGAACCTTGATCTCCAAGATCAGCCAAATCAATTTATCATAGAATCATGAACTACTCCCATCTCTATATTATTCGATATTACTCCCCCTTTTCAAGACCCAAGAATCACTCCGAGATGTGCGGAAATGTATGTATATATATTTATATATTTACATATATATATATATATGTGTATTTACAATATATATATATATATAGATATATAGATATACATATATAATTAAACCAAATCCGACTTTACATTTTGGTACCTGAACTATCCTGAGCTGATCTTTCGGAACCTTTCGGGGCCCGAACGCGCGTTTCGGGGCCCGATTCGGGGCCCGAACTCCTCTTTCGGGGCCCGAGGAGGCACAGCAAGAGAACATGAGAAAACAAGGTGAAGAGATAATTAAAGATGTAATAAAATTTTAGAAATAGAATAGAGCAGGCATAACACGAGAAGTAAGAAATCAAGGTAAAAAGGAAGTCAAGAGATGTACGGAGATGTATGTATATATATATATACATGTTACAACACGGCCCCAACATAGACCATCATAGACCTCCGTGGAACCCATAAAGCCCACCAAATGACCCAACATGACCCAACATGGGCCCAACATAGACCCAAAACGGCCCAACAATGGTCCGACATAGCCCTCCAATGCCCTCCAAGCGCCCCCAAAATGAACCTCAACCGAAAAGTTTTCGGTTGGGGTTGATTTTTTCATACCAAAGACCTCCATGGAACCCCACATGGGCCCAACTTAGACCTCCAATTGCCCAACCTTAGCCCGACATACCCCTCAACGTGGCTCAAACAAGATCAAAAAAGGACCTTCACAAAAAGACGATTTTTGGTGATTGTTCTTTTTTCTTTTGCAGAGACTTCCATGAACCCCCATATGCATTCCCACAAATTCGTCCCCAAAACTGGAGCTCAATTTTTTTTCAACGCCAACTGGAAATTTACCATATAGGAAACCACATCAAGCTAAGCTGGAACATTGCAAAAAGTTTGCAAACGGGACAAGGGAGCAGCAATCACATTTGTGCCCTCGCATGCACCGCCTTAGTTGAATTTGCCTTGCACATACCCAAAACCCATCTTGGTCCAACGCATTACACCAGAAACCAAATCCCAAAGTCTTTTGTGCAAGTTAGCATCGAGCCCCGAAAGACGAATTCGGGCCCCAAAAGATAAGTGCATGCACCAAAAGAATCCAGAAGACAAGTTCGGATTTATCCTTTTACATTTCCGTATACATCTCTATATATCTCTGTACCTTGTTTTCTCATGTTCTCTTGCGGTGCCTCTTCGGGCC